TGTATTCAAAAGTCATAAGAGTTCTAAATTGATACCCACGCCATCTAGTAAGCTCAGTGACAGAATTGGTCAATATTTGGTGTAGGTACATTAGCAGCTTGACTATAATACATAATTAAAGTGGTATTCATTAATAATTACTTACAAATAACAGTATAATTAATATATCTACAATATAATTCTAATTAAGGAAGAAAAATAAGGCTGGAATTGCTTGGAAGTATTCAAATAATGTTTGAAGATGGTAAAGGATAAATATTTGCATAAAATTTTTACTTATTTGGTAATTTGTTTTTTTTATGTGATATGTCGGCAAACGAGCAGACAGATTACCCGATGGTAAGCAATCTGTGCCGCCCACAACACAGCAGTTATAAGTACGTTGCCTAACTTTTGGGGATTAGGGATTTGAAGAATTGGAGATTGGGGAGGTATTATGCTATTTATGCCGATGCAGGGCTTTCCCACAATTAAATAATTATTTTTTTATTTTGCTTTATTTTTTTAAAAACACGTTGATTTGTTGTTGATTAGGACTTTTTTCTGTGTCGTGGGTGTGTTTAAAACATCGATCACTAATAAAGAACTAGATACACAATCAGTGACAAAAAAATGTCCTAACTGAAAGTCCACCAAACTCAACATCGCGGTGTAGTTTTAGTTTAGTACCACTCGAATGCTCCGACGGTAAACACGCCTCAGTGCTCCTTTAAAAACTGCAAAAAACACACATCTAAGACGCAAAAAAGGATGGAATTTCATATTTTCGTTAAGTAATAATATTATCATTATATAATTGTCATCATTCTATTTTAAATATTGATATTTTATTAAGAAATCAACTTTAAAACTTTTTCCAAATGAAATCGTATTCAAAAACCGGGGTTATAATGCACACAGTTTATAAAGTCACTTATACTAAACGTAAAATCATTCTCTAGCATGACCACTTAAGTTGTTCGGTTTACGTGGATTGATTCTGTTCCGTTTAGCGGAGACGCTATGATTATAATTTTATTTATTGTTTTTTTTTTATTAAAAAATAGTTTTTATCTAGTATTATACTTCTTTACTGTGTTTATTAAAATATGGAATAAGCAGATATAATGGATTTAATTTTAACTGCAGCAAAGACATTTTTTTTTTAGCTTTCATCAAAAAACCCGTGCGATATGAAAAATTGACAACAATAACGCCAACATTTTCAGTACTTACTTTAGATATATATTCTTTTTATTATTTTACATCTTTTTTATTTGACTTCGAATTTGGAATATTTTTCAAAGTATACATATATACTTTGAAAAATATTAATTTAGGAAGGATTAAGGAGGACGAAAATAATAAAAAAAAAATATAACTACCTATATGCATTAGTTTCATTGGTAAATAAATTAACAAACCTATAGAAAAGAATACTTTAAGTAATGCGTTTTAATTTTCGTATTTTTTTTTATAAATTATCAAAAAAAAAATTGAAAGAAATATATTTATTACGAGACATTTCGACTCCAATCATTCTTTGTCCTAGCGGTGAGCAGAAGTCGTAAAATTTTATTGCTCATTTTTGACACATTGTAAATTCGACTTAAAGACATGCGAATATGGTTGAATTTCTTATGATTTATGCAAAAAATGTTTAGATTTTGTATATCACTTTGTGAAAACAACTCTATGAGTTGCATTTAAGGTTTAATTTACATTAATGCATGTTTATTTCAAGTATAAGTACCTAAATACAGTTAACGACAGTTTTGAAGCGAACTTTTGTATGGGATTGTGTATCTAGTTCTTTATTAGTGATCGATGGTTTAAAAACATAAAATTTACATAAACATCTCACCCAGACCAGTCAATTATTTTGTTTGATACTCGCTTCGAACATAATTATTGTAGCACTTCTTTGCGGCTTACTGATAAAGAATGACTGTCGACAATAAGTCCGCATGTAGGTATTAATGTAATGTGTAAAAATAAAGATATACTTAATAAATGTTGTTGACACATTTTCAGATTCCTTGAAAAAAATTATTATCTTTTTAAATAGGAAGAAAAAATTTTGTTATTAAATTGTGTATTAAGATAGTAATAAAGTGGCAATATTTACATTTTCCTAGTGTTTTGTTTGACAAAATAATCATAAAAAATGAAGAAAGAATCGTGCGTTAACATCGAGCTGAAATTCTCACTACGAAGGATTGAAGAGACCAAATCATAATATTTAATTAACCAATATAATTAAGAACACACAGAGGGTAATTTCGCTGAAGTTTGCTGTCGTTGACAAATATAATTTTACCGTGGTAGTAGGTACAATATTAAACCACTGAACTTCATATATGAGACCCTGTTTCATTTGTAGAGCTTCTGAGGGGTAAGCGCGACATTGTATTATAATCATTACAGAGTGAAGAAGAAAAAATATGTTCCTAATGATTTTTTTTTTTTATTAAATCCGATTAGTTTTCTCTGTATTGTCATCATCAGCCTATAAGTGCCCACTGCCGAGCAAAGGCCTCATACGAAGAAGGTTTGAGCACTAATAACCACGCTTGTTCAAGGCGAATTAGTTATTTTAAAGTTATAATTAGAAATTACAAGTCTAGGTCTCCTCACGATGTTTTTCTTCGCCGAATGTTAGTGGTGTCAAAATAATTTGTATGTATAATCTATGTTATAATGAATGTAAATATTTAGTTTCTGTTGTATTCTTTAGCTTTTTAAAGCAAATCTAGCCTTCCAAGCAAACGATCTGAAAAATCACCAAATGGTAAGCGATCAGCGTCGGCTGTAGACACCCGTAACACAAGAGGTGTATCAGAAGAATTGCTTTAACCGTTTAAACGTTATGGTAAAAAACGGTTGTTTTAAGTTTTACTTAAATTGACGACTTACTCGTGTGAATTAACTGAGAAAACCTCTTATAGTTTTAAGTCACAACGAGACTAATATTTCTCTAATATTTATAATTCACGTAAGTCGTATTTTCCAATAAAGTTAGTATGTCTCATAATAGTTAGTATTTTTAAAAAATGGTCGTTATAACAATGTAATTACGTTTATAATACTATATTTTTTGTGACTAGACACTAAAATTATTTGCAGCTAAAAAAAAAAAACAAAAAACAAAACGACAAACAACGTTCGAAATTCAAAAAAGTACTTACATACTTACATCGCTTAAACATTAACTTATCCATTAAACTTATACCCTTAAACAATTATTATTATAATATTATCAATTAATTTTACATCTACATTTTTTTCGTTCCAAAAAATAATATTTATTTTTTTCTTATTTTTTATCTTGGCACTCGTATCTATATCACAGAGCTTTGACAAATACCGTCTTTCTAATGAATTTACTTACGCGCCAACTTCACTATCAACCAGCACCGCTCTACCCTCAATATTCTTTAATATAAACTTTAGATTCTTACACAGAATTGGGTAGTTTCCTAGGTCAACATTAAATTAATTCGACGTTTCAATACAATAAAATATTGAAAAATAAATATACTTTTATTCATCGAAATTTTCTTTTTAGCAAATTTTTAAGAAATACACAAGCTATACTATGCAAAAATACTATGACGTCATAAATTTGAGTTTCACAGAAAAGTATCGTTTTTGACATTTGGATAAAAGTATTGTATTTGATTTGACTAGTTGGAAACTACCGTACTAAGTAGATGTCAAATATCAATCAATATTAGTTTTAAGATCTAATTGCACTCACTGTCTTAAAGTTCATTTTGCGATAACAAAATCAAATTTTGGAATTTGATTTTAACTGCAAAGCTGTAAAGTTTAAAAACTTTAAGCGCCATTTTTTTGGCGGCACGACGTTGTTAAGATTTAGTTGTTTAATAAACAACTATTTTTAAATGACGTTGTAGAAATAAAGTTAAAACTTCAACAGATAAACTCAACTTTAAGTAAGGCCATGCAATGTTGTAGGTATTAACGACTTATCGTTTTTAAAAGCAAATTAATTATCAATATTTTTTTACTCTGTGGTTTTATCTTTTCATATTCTGTGACTTTTAAAATGATTAAATAACATAGGTACAAATGTTACAAGTAACAAAATTATGGCATTTGTAATAAGAATAGCGAAAAAATGAGTTATTTTGAAGATCTACAAAACCGTGGATAACGTTATTATTTGCTATGGTAACACCATGGTAACAAAATTTCTACCAAATAATTGTAACTGTTATAATGATTAGGTACCAACTATTTTTGGGAGCTTATTACGGCAGCCAAATAAAGATAAAACATTCATTCTTTAAATTATTTTGTCAAAAACTAATATTAATAGCAAAATTATTTTCTATTCGATTGACAAATTATAGTATTATTATATTCTATTAAAATAACTTTGGTTGTTCATTACTATTAAAAAACCTTTTTTAAAGCAATATTAAAGAAAATTCTTAATTCGGCGTATTCTACGAGCAACAACTATATTAAAATAAGGCAAAATATTTTAATTCTATTCTAATAATATATTTAATTCTTTATATCTATTGTCATTTACCAACATCCCTATTTTAATATCTAAACGAAATTAAAATACAGTATTTCTACATTACATTACAACATAAAATAAAATACTTTTATTTTTAACATAACATTACCTACTAAACGATGACTGGATGGTGTCCATTACTTACATGACAATATAATTTACTACCTAACTTTTATATTTGTGTCCGTAGATTGGAATATCAAAGAATTGTTTTAAAATAATTCCGTGTACAATTCTTTAGTATTTTTATTTGAAGAAATTGTAAAAATTAAGATAGATTTTGTTTGCAATTAAAGCAATATGGATGAACAAGTAATTTTTGCATTAAAGTTTTCTTTGGGAAATTCTGTTCGGCGTAACAGGCCAAAATTTTATGACAGTTCTTTTCTACTTTAAGCAGTCCACGATATTTTATAATTTACTAATAATTTGACATTGATCCCACTAGATTGACTCCGTTTTACGACTACAAGAGATCTTGCCCTATCTCTTCTTTGGTCTCGCACAAATAGCTCTTGAAGCTATCCTGTCCTTGCTTCGAATCTTGATCAAACAGTTTATTAATTGTGTCCTTGAAAAAACCTTTTGGTTGAATACTTTCGAATTTCGTTTCTATTGATAATTTTCTCTTTTTGTTATCGTTTGAAAGGCGAGGGAAGTCTAGTGAGTAGCTCTGTCTTATTTTCTTTAACTTTTCCGCGCTTTGAGACTCGTTTTCTGTTTTGTAAATATTTTTATCTGTAGCATGGTCTTCGTGTGTTTCGTTGCCTAATTTATTGTTTTTACTTGATTCGGCAATAACTTCTTCGGGGGCTTTAGTGAATAGGAGACGATCTGAATCCATGAAGGTTAAGACTGGTGATCGTTCGTTGATAACTTTGCAAGATTCTCCAAAGAGGTCTAGTTTTTTTACGTTAGTACCTGTGTTGCTACTGTCTTCGTCGTATATCGTGTCTCCTGATCGTTCAGCATCTGAATTTTTGCTTTCTGGTATAGTACAAAGGTCGGGATCCCTCGTGAAAGTTCGGTGGTATTCGTTCGTTGTCATCTCTGATATGTCGTCATTGAAGATAATCTTTTTGCCCTTGGAGTTTTTGTGGTGACTAGATAGGTTTGTTTCTGAACAATTAAGGCGGGTGTTGACGCTCGACAGTTTATTAGCTGGTGACGTCAGAGTGTTATTGTACGCTTTCTCCGCATGTGAGTTCTTGCCTTTAGAATGGACTCCGAAGACCCTTTTTATCGAGTTTCGAAACTGAAAAAGAAAATGCGCTTATAAGAATATTTCTCTGATAAGTTAATGGTTTTTGTTGGGACTTTTTTATAGCTTACCTGTGTATTCATACCGACGTAAATAAGTGGATCGTAGCAAATGGAACTTTTAGCGACCAGTGCTGGAATAACGCCAGCTCCCGGTGATACCTGTGGAAGAAAAATAGAAGTTAAAATATATTTTTTTAAAAGACGTCAAGTCTTCGCGATACTATGATTAAGTTAAGAATTTAATAAGTGTGGGAGAGCCATGCTTCGGCACGAATGTCGGGTCGACCGTAGTGATACCACAGCCAACTACATCGTTATGTTTCGCCGTTTGAGCGAGGTAACCGGAGGCCCAATCTCTCACCCTCTCCCCATCCCTTCTCAATCCTTAAATATCCGAAACTTTTATTCCTAAAGGTCGGCAACGCACTCGTAACTTCTTTAGTGTTGCGGATGGCCATGGGCGGTGTTGATTGCTTACCATCAGTTAATTACATATACCAAAAAAATGAAGATTTCTTTACTAGTCTAGCGTATACTTATACTGTGTAATATACTTTGTGTAAGTGTGTAAGGCAGATTGATTGCTTGAGGCATTTTCTGCCACTTAATCTCGGGTTGACGTTCTGAGCCAGACATAGGTAGATTACAAAAACAGTATAATAATAATATGTAGCTTTTCACAACAATTGGAGTATTAAGTTAAAAGTAATGTTAGAACTTTGCGATGTAATAACTTTTTTATTTCAGTCTCGAGGGAATCAAATTGTCTTTTTTTCATAATATAAGCATTTTCTTTGTTTTGCTTGTGTTGTATCACCATGACTAGTTTTAAAGTTGTGTTTTTTTTTTGTTATAGATCGGCAAACGAGCGATCGGATTACCTGATGGTAAGCAATCAGCGCCGCCCAAGGACACCCGCAACAACAGAGGAGTTACGAGTTGCGTTTCCGACCTTTTGTAAATTAGGATTTGGGAGATTTAGGGATTGAGGAAGGGGAAGGACCGGGCCTCCGATAACTTCACTCACACCGCAAAATACAACGCTGTGGTTGGGTTACGCCGGTTTTCTGTGAGGCCGTGGTATTACTCCGGTCGAGCCGACCCATTCGTGCCGAAACTTGGCTCTCCCACATTTATTCTTTAACACACACACTTCTTCTTTATTAACCTTTTTGGATAGACGATGAGATATTAAATTTCGTAGTACTTCGTTAACTCGCATCTAAAAATATGAAGTATGAATAAAAACTGAAAGGAATCTGCGACAAATTAAATAAAAACTTGATGAATAATAAAATAAAAATCTTTGAAAAAGGAGTTATTTTTAACATAACAGCCGAATAAAGGAACCGTCGATAAATAAATTACGTAGTAAAAGTAGCTTAGGCACATAATTTTGTCGCTGAGAAAAAAATAAATTTGATGAGTGTGTATTTCAGAATAATAAGGAACAAATTCGTATTTAAATCGGGCAAAAATACTTGTATTCCTATTTTCTCTTTCTATTTCTTCTTAAAGCTAAGTTTTTTGTATGAGCCCTAATTTTTTTGTTTGGTTTTTTAATAGGTCGGCTAATGAGCAGGCAAATTACCTGATACACACGGCGCCACCCATGTACACTCGGAACACCAGAAGAGTTTTGGCGATTTTGGAGATTTAGCGATTAGGGTAGGATTGGGAAGGGGAAGGAGTTCCACGTTCACAATAACAAACTTTTCGGCTTTGTTATAATAATACTTCTATAAATAAGAATTACGTGTAACGTGTTTGTCGGCGATGGACTCCTAAACTACTAAACCGATTTTAAATTTGATTTGCATTCCGTGTGCATTTTGATCCAACTTGAAAGATAGGATAGCTTACATCTCAATTTGTTGTCACAAAATTGTTTACCTTAGCCACAGCAATGCGTGGCTGGGTCTGCTAGTTAATTATATGTACAGTCAGTGGTCAAAAATGCAATTACACTCTACCAATTTTAAAATGACTAAAATTTCTTTTTAGTAAAAATTCAATGGTGCACAACCAGCTTATTCAATAATTTAGATTCTATGCTATAACTTAAAGCAAGTCCTCAACCATTGACACTATAAAATAGTGTCAAAGATATTTTGGTCATTTTAAAATTGGTAGAGTGCAATTGCATTTTTGACCCCTGACTGTACATAAATCTATGTATAGTCGGTAACACTATTAATATCAGACTCTCAATATATTTTTATAAAAACACAAAGAAACAAAAATGAGGAAGCAATAAGCATAAATGAGAAGTCAGTGAAAACTTCAGGATAAAAATATCTGACAAAAGACCTGACGGAATTGGGCATACGTTAGTATACATTTGAGTTTATTCTGTGCCTCTTATTTTGATACCGACAATGTGGATTAAACACAAAAGGTATAAAAGGGGATGCAAAGGAAGAATTTTTGGAATTTCAATACAATGTGTGAGGATGAAACCGGATGTATATTGTGTCAGGTCGTATTTTATTAGGCAGAAGATCTTTTTCAATAAGTTCGTGTATTAAAAGGAGTTGTTTTAGTATAAAATGCTGCAGTGGCTTGGAAGTTAAAAGCAATGTGACTTTTTACGAAATAAATTATGTGTTATAGTAGTTTAATTACACACCACTGACAAAAAACGTAAGTCTTGAGGTATTTTTGAAGTAGAAAATCATCTAATGATTTCTCTGGCCCTGGCGGAGCGAGATGAACTATAAGACTCTTGCTGACTAAAAACCACCCCATTCCTCTCTTGCTGCAAGCTGAGTTAGGTAAAGCGCTTACACCCGCAATCTTGACTTGACATCAGCTTGTTTAATCCGCATCTGCGGTCAAATAAGCCCTTGAGGAGCGCATAGGACACACGTCCGTTCGGGTCTCTCTCTCGGTTCTCGTCGGGCGCCTAGCTCCCCTTGCCTGCTAGCAACAGTCTGCAGTAGGCTCTGATGATGATTATGATGATGATGAGTATAAAATTGGTATAAAGATGGTTTATTTTGGGAAGCCAATAAGGAAGACTGAGCTGTTAGTGAATTTGTATTTCAATAACCACTATTGAGTATGGAGTTTTGTTTTTTTTATGGTAGACTAGAAGAGAACGCTCCAGGCGTAGAGTAGGTACGCCATACAATGTCAGACTTACGACTTACATATATTATGCAAGAAGGATATCTTGAACGCGGGTCCTCTGATTTTTGATAGACTAACTGCAATCTGCAATTATTTCCTGTCACCTATATTTGGTGAGCTGAAATTATTCTAAACTCTTGTTTGAGAACATACTTATCTGTACTATCATACAAATGGCATATCTAATCAATTATGCTGAAGTTTATGCAAAGCATACACCTTTGTTCAATATGTAAAGATTTGCTGTAAGTATAGTATACACAAACAAAACAAAAGGCGTTTTTTCAACTTCCCCCATTCCACCGACAAGATCGCATCAAATTGCTTTTGATTTTTATGAACTAGAGGAGTATTTTCCATTTTCCTCATAAAACGTTGGGAAAGTAATTGCGTTTAAATTACAAATAGGGAAAATTTGGATTTCTATTGTTTTAAATATTATCTGTCGTAGGGTGAAAAGGTGGTTGTTTGAATATTATGCCTGTAGAAATTAACCTACCGCTATTAAAGGAAAGTTAATAAGTTAATTCTCTCACATTATGTTATTTTTACATTGTCTGGACTTGAAAAGAGTCTGACCTCTGAGTTGGTTTCGGCATTTCTTCTCAGAGTAGTCAGATAGGAAATGCCGGCTTCATCTTTTCTTCATTTTTTCACATATAAATTGATGTGTAAAAGTGCCGTTTTATGGCCTATTTGCAAAAATAAATTCATTGTTTCATTAGTTGTGGGAGAGCTATGCTTGGGCACGAAAGACTCGCTTCAACTCTCCGAGATACCGTGGCTTCGCAAAAAATCGGCGAGAATCCTTCAGAGTACAAGTAAGCAATTTATCAAAGATAATGATTTATTCTACTATCCTACTAATACTATAAATGTGAAAGTTTGTAAGAATTTATGGATGTAAGTTTGTTATTCTTTCGAGCAAAAATGGTTGGACCGATTTGGTTGACATTTGGTATGGGACATTTGATAGGAAATAGGTAATAACTCTGGTTTAACATACATAAAATTGACTGCTTTATTATCATACCTACATAGGTGAAGCTGTGAGCGGAAGCCAGTCTTTAAAAAAAGTAATATTCTTTACTATAAAAAAAAACTCTCACGACATTCGTCACAGCAAGTAAAGTAGTGTTACAGTGAAAATATGTGCCTCTCATTCACCCTCCACCCCTTTGAGGATTAGGGCATGCCGTCATGTATACATATTAATTAAATTATTACTTAATTGACTAAAAGCGGGTTCACCTCACATTCAAACACCCTGTATCCCCCTTTGAAGGAAACAGGTGACACATTGTACGTAGTAACAGTGTCACGTGAGCGATCGTATTAAGAAATAATTATCCTATTAAATGAAAGGGAAATTTCTCGGGAAATCGCACAGACGTAATATATTTGTCGCTTCAAATAACATGATCTTAGAAATGTAAGGTCAATGATCCGTATATAACAATGTACGAAAAAAATTAAATCATTATTTCTTTGTGACAAAGTTCAATATCGCAACTGTTTTTTTGATACTTTCTGCTGTCTCTGTTTGAGGGAGAAATATCATTGAATGTCTTCTCTTAGGTGGGGTGAGACTCGTGTCTGACTCTTACTGGCTAAAATTCACCCGTTCAAACTCCTGTTCCGAGGCCGGCAGCGGTACTTAATTGGCCTTAGCCCGCTTTGGCCTCGATAGACCTTATCTTTGGTGGTCTAATAGCTTTTTCAGGCGTGCACGGAACGAGTATTATATTAATAAGAGCTGAATACAGATTTGAAGCCAAAGCTAGAGCATCAGTGCTCTCTGGAAAAGTTGAACCATCTAAGCTGAAAAATAATCAGGCGGATTACCTGATGGTAAGTAATCCGTGCGTTGACAGCCTCTCAAGAATTAGGATTTCGGAGATTTAGGGATCGGGGAGGGACCTCACTCAAACGGCGAATCACAACGCTGTGATTGTTTCACGCCGGTTGACCGTGCAGCCGTGGTATTACTCAGTTCGAGCCGACGTATTCGTGCTGTAGCATGGCTCTCCCACACTTAAAATAGCCACCACCCGCTAAGAGATTTTAGCAAATTCTTATATTGAGGATGTAAATATAATAGCAATAGATTCGCATGTTAGTGATTATTATTATTTATTTATGTTAAAACGGTTTACACACCAATTACATTAACACAGAGAGATAAAGGAACATGATATAAAAAAGAAAATACTAATGAAATTGCAGAATAAAATATGAATAATACGAATAAAGAATAAAACAAAACAATACATATGATTGAGTGATGGTAACTGGACAAATCTGGATGGACTAAACTTAAAGGACTACTCGTTGAAACATTACATTTATACAGTGTCTTGAATAAAAATAAAATAGAAGTCAAAATCAGTCAGTCAATATTCGGCTAACATAAATTTAATAAGAAGAAAAGAAAAAGAAATACTTCCTACCCAATATCGAGTAAATTGAAGTCGTTATGCCGAGCGGTATATTAATTTTACGCTTTATGAGTTGTGTCAAACATTTTCAGACCAACTTTTCAACGAGAAAAAGGAATAGGCCTAGGCAAGAAATATTCGTGTTTTTTATGTGACATTTTTATGGACACCCTCAACAACGGAGGAGTTACGAGTGCATTGCCGAACTGTTGGGTTTAGAGATATTGCGTTTGGGGGCGAGCAAGGCTTGCGCCTCCGGTAACCTCACTCAGAGCTGTGGCTGTTTTATGCTTTATGTAACGCCGTGGTATCACTCCGGTCGAGCCAATACATTTGTGCCGAAGCATGGCTCCCCTACAATTTCTCGTCAATTGGTATTTGGGTAAATACTTTTACTGGTTTACTTTTTGCGTTTTACTTTTATTGGTTACTGTTCCAATATATAGGTATACTCTTAGACTGATGAGCTTCATGTATTTAGCTGCATTTGTCGTGGTGGCCTGGAGGTTAAGGCGCCCGCTTCTCATGCATGAGCGCGCGAGCTCGAAACGTGGCAAGTACCAATGTGACTTTTCCGAGCAATATGTACTTTCTATGATTATTTAGACACCACTGACTGTGAAGGAAATCATTGTGAGGAAACCCATTTAGACACGACTGGCATACGGTAAAGAAAAACATCGTGAGAAAATCTGGACTTATAATTTCTGATTGTTTTGAAGTCACCAATTCGCCTTGAGCAAGTATGGTGATTAATGCTCAAAACTTCTCCTTGTGAGAAGAGACCTTTCTCTCAGAAGCTCTTTGCATAGCAGTGGCCTCTTATAGTCGTGTGATATTTAGCAGTGAAATGGCCATTAGTGTAACAATTTCAATAAAAGCAACTCAGACAATTATAACTGTCATTCATTTATAAAATCTCTTCTGAAAATAAAACAAAATCCCAATTACTATTAATGAAAAATGTTAGCTAAAATTTATTGAAATTCTAGCACACAAAAATGAGTTATGGAGCTCGATAAAAAAATGAAAATTGGTGTAATGGAACACCAATTTAACAATTATGTAGAACGGATTTTGCTTGCGAACGAATTTTTTGCAGTTGCAGCATTTTCATCTAACGTTATGTATGTGTATGTATGAATGTATGTATGTATGTACGTTGGTTATCAGATCCATTAATTTAGAGGCTCAAAGAGGCGACCATTAAATCATATTAGAATGAGTTCTTCCTTTTTTATATTTTAGCAAAATTGTTTAATAATGTCGTGTGCTTAATGTTGGCCATTTCTTATGTAGGAGAGCCATGCTTCAGCACTAATGGGTCGACCAGAGTAATACAACGTCCTCATAGAAAACCGAAGTGAAACAACCACAGCGTTGTGTTTCGCCGTCTGAGTGAGGAGAGCTAATCCTTTTCATCTCATCCCTCTATCCCAAAATTTCTGAATCCCTAATACCTCTGATGTTGTAGGTGTCAATAGGAGGCTCGGATTGCTTACCATCAGGTAATCCATCTGTTCGCGTTTGCCTTAACATCATATAAATATAAAAGTAATAAAAACATACTACAAACTAAATACATTGAAAAATTAACAAATTCATTGAACTGATTAATAAATCTAAAATCAAATTATCCGCAGCCATTTGACTAATCACTAAAATGTACTAAAACCTCTTTATTATGTTACCAACAGACCCACTGGTTCGTAACATTTGATGCCTAATTATTTCACAAAATTAATTTAATTTACTATCACGGACGTATAATTAGGGTAGTATGTCGGTATTTAATCTTCACGGTAATCTATTATGCAGGTACATATAAAAATAAGTTATGTTTTAGAACATCCACAGTATAAGTGTGGGAGAGCCATGCTTCGGCACGAATGGGTCGGCTCGACCGGAGTGATACCACGGCCTCGCAGAAAACCCCAGTTCCTCCTCAATCCCTAAATCTCCAAAAAGGTCGGCAACGCACTCGTAACTTCTCCGTTGCGGGTGTCCATGGGCGGCGCTGATTGCTTACCATCAGGTAATCCATCTACTCGTTGGCCGACCTATTACATAAAAAAAACTATTATTTGGCTACTGAGCCGGCCTAGAGTAATAACTAAAGATGTGGTTTGATTAATTTAAACAAACAGATACAATGTACTAAAAAGTCAATCAAATTAAACTAAACATAATCCAAAACAGATTCCACACATTTACGTCGAATATAAAAAAAAAAATACTAATATTATACGGCAAGCACAGGGTAGTGAGCTACTTTAGCTCACTGCCCGAACACAACCAGACTCGAGCGTACATGTTGCGTACGTTTCAAAAAACCATACTCAAAAAACCGTAGGTTGGACCATCATAGAACAAGGCAAATATGTCCAATGTTTAGTCAATAAGCTATTGTGACCTAGGTCTGGAGCAGCACAAAGAACGGGGAGGTTTTAGTCAGTAAGATGCAGCCAGTACCTCTTACCGCACCCTGGGCGAGAAAACAAATTTAATAATTTCCTTACGCGTTTGCTTGTGTGCGTAAAGCATCACACGTAAGAATTATAGCGAATAATCCACTGTGACCCGTGATCCACTGTTACCCACTCTCCCCTACATAAAAAATCGTTTTTAAATTGTTCATGTCTTACAGTTCATAGATAATAAATATTGATTAGGAATTTGGAACAGTAACTCCTTAGTGTTTCTTTTTTCTTTTTGACGAAGTCCATTCCTTGGGCGAAATGTATGAGATTCCTTCATTTTTAAGCATTTATCTTACTCCAATTCAGGTGTAATTTGGCACAGACACTTAGATTGGATGACAATGCTCAGTTACCATATTTCTTTACACCAAATCCAAAATGGCGGACGATCGAAGATGGCGCGAACTGTCATTATAGTAATAAAGAAATCAAATTTACTCACAATTCCCTCCGTAGCAAATTGTTCTAACAAAGCAAAAACGGAGTAGGGTGTCCACGCAACGGTGAAGGATACGATCATGATGAACACCATAGCTGTGGCTTTTGTCTCCGCTCGGGATACGCGACCCAACCGTTGTGAATTCTGTAACAAAGAAACAAAAATCTTACTTAGTACATTTTTGTAAGAAAACGTTGTCCTATGCTCTGATTTTTTCCTGTATCGTAGCACACACATACGTCACAGCAGCCAGTTGCTCAGTCGCTGCGTCAACCGTCTAGTCATGAACAAGTTATTTACTATAGCCGTATTATTTTGTTTACCCATTTAACAGCATACAATATTTACTGGATTGAGTATTGGGGAATGGCTATTGGGGATTGGGTATTGGGGTTGGGGATCGATGATTGGGGATCCGGGATCGAGGATGGGGATGGGGAAGGGGAAGTTTTAGGCATCTGGTTACACTCACATCGCGAAACACAATGCAGGTGTTGTTTTAGGTCTAAAAAACGGGGGGTTGTCAGACTCTTACCTACTGACTTTTAGTCACTTATAACACTGACTTTTAGTCAGTAGGTAAGTACTCCCTCTGGTGATGTGTTAGGTATTCCCGAGAGACCGTGGTATCACTCCGGTCGCGCCGACTAATTCGAGCCGAAGCTTGGCTCTTGTAAAAATATCGTCATTACCATAAAAACGAGACTAAAGGCCACAGAAATTTTAATTATGAATGTAAACGACTTCCCTTACTTCCTCAAAATTACTTAACATTCATTAGGATGTATGTAGATGTAATTATATTAATTTTTGTAATTAGGATGATGTCGGGGTTTGCGTATTGCCTGCGTGATTTAGAACAAAACATTTTGATAATATCTTTTTTTATGGTATAAATCGGCAAACGAGCAGACGGATTACCTGATGGTAAGCGATCGGCGCCGCCCATGGACACCCGCAACACCAAAGGAGTTACGAGTGCGTTGCCGGCCTTTTCGGAATAGGGGTTGCGGATATAAAGATCGGGAAGGGAAGGGATTGGGCCTCCGGTAACCTCACTCACACGGCGAAACACAACGCTGTGACGACACGGCGAAACGCTTAAATCTTCTTCGAAGGTTAATCTAATATAAGAACGTTGTATTATTTTTACTTTATTTACTCACTAGCTGTATTCCGTGATTTCACCCGCATAGCAAACAATTTCCCGCCCGCGTGGTATGTTGATAAAATGTACCTTATTTGTTAATTCAGGGTATCAACATACCAAATTTCAACCGTATTGGTTTAGCTGTTTTTGCATGAAAGAATAACCATACATACTAAGTGTGGGAGAGCCATGCTTCGGCACGAATGGGTCGGTTCGACCGGAGTGATACCACGGCTTCACAGAATACCGGCGTGAAACAACTACAGCGTTGTGTTTCGCCGTGTGAGTGAGGTAACCGGAGGCCCCATCCATCCCCTTCCCCGATCCCTCCAAAGCCCTAATCCCTAAAAGGTCGGCAAGGCACTCGTAACTCCTCCGTTGCGGGTGTCCATGGGCGGCGCTGATTACTTACCATCAGGTAATCCGTCAGCTCGTTTGCCGACCTATTCCATAAGAAAACCTACTCACAAACTTTCACATCTAGAATATTAGGAGGATACAACGCCGTTCAATTATGTAGAAAACAATGCCGGTATATAATGAAGTTGCTTTCTCTCTCCCTATATCCCTATGTGTGCTTTAATCTTTAAAACTACGTACCGGTTTGTTTGATTTTAATGATGTTTTTGATGTAGCTCTTAATAGATAAAGTGATTGAAGAGGAAGATTTAGGTATATGTATAATAACAATTACAAAATCGAAGAGTTCAATGTCAGCATTACACCCGTCCGGAGACGTGGAGGGTCGCTAGGTACTAACTTATAAAAACAAAACTGAATACGAACCAGTTTTTTCAATACTACAACTGGAAACATACTTAAGATAAGTTTAAGAATAACTTTAAAACTTTGATGAAACTTTGAAAAGTCCCCGAATCACATCGATCGGTTACATTTCGTTGAACAGTTGGCAAGAGAAAATTTTCTATTTTTTTTTTTATTTAATACATCGGCAAACGAGCAGACGGATTACCTGATGGTAAGTAATCAGCGCCGCCCATGGACACCCGCAACGGAGGAGTTACGAGTGCGTTGCCGACCTTTTAGGGATTAGGGATTTGGAGAATTAAGGATTGAGAAGGGATTGGTGGTGGGGAAAGATTGGGCCTCCGGTAACCTCACTCACACGGCGAAACACAACGCTGTGGTTGTTTCACGCCGGTTTTATGTGAGGCCGTGGTATCACTCCGGTCGACCCGACCCATTCGTGCCGAAGCATGGCTCTCCCACACTTAAAATCTATCTTAAGAAACGAGCGAGAGAAATAATATGGAGTATTGAAAAAACACATTAAAAAGCGCCAAATGGGACTTGCCCATGAAGGGTTCCATAGCAACAAGTAACACAATTTTATTATTTACTAGCTACTCTCACGCGGTTTCACCCGCTGCTTGGCTCCATTTGATCGTAGCGTGCTGTTTTATAGCCTATAGGACTCAGGAACATTGTAGCTATCTATCAATGAAAGAATTTTGGCAATCCGACCAGCGGTTCCAAAGATTACCCCCTACATACAAACTTACAAATTTTACCTTTTTATAATATTAGTATAGATGATCTAGCGCCCCGCCCCGGCATCGCACTGATTCTATTAAATTGATAGTGATTTTTTTTTATTTTTTTTAAACAGTAATGCAAATGACGTAATACATATGCACCAATATTCAACAGAATATATTTAAAAACAAAGATTGTGCCATGCGGATCATATAAACCTGAAAAAGGTAGGTAAAGATTTTTTATCTATCAGTAACTATTGTGATTGTTATAAAACGCTAATTGATGTGCTGATTCTATAGATGAATTAAGTAGTTCTCTCATTAACTACTTACTTTTAAACGTATAGCATAGCAACAAATCGCATCAGCTTAACTTAAGAACTCAGAGACATTTAATTATTACTTAAATAACTATTAGTTCCGAAAACGAAAGCGAAGAACTTGGTTTTAATTACTTTAGTAAGCGACTCTGAGTACGAAAACTCAACTCAACTAATTGGTCGAACACACATTTAAGCAACTTCGAGCTTGCACATTTTTCTTCGTACATTAAGGTTAAAAAATATTCCATATCCCGAGAATACAATAGATATATTTCTGTAAATAAAACATCTGTATTTGAGGTCCTGTCTGCATGACAACTTGAGAAGATATTATATAAATAAGGAAAACACAAGTACTTGCGTAGGCCTGTACCAGACGGTCGAGGTCATTGCCCTTGTCTAGACTTATCACAGAGGCTTTTCTGGACTACTTCGAAAGACACTCTATACTAGTATTCTACAAGTGATATATCAATTTGTGGAATTGCTGCTCATTTAAAGGACGCCTTTTTTCTTTTATCGGTTTCCAACTCTTATTAAATAAAGTTACTTTTCGCTTTTCGTCCAGATGGCTTTCTATAGTGCTTTGTCAACAAATCACCTTTATAACATACTGTGGCGATTAGAGCTATATTTTCATTCAAATCAAGTACAGTAAAACTTGAGCCAGAGACCATTAGAATGTAAATTACTAAGCTGCACACTCATCCATATTAGAATAAATCACAATATATTGCTTTCCGTGCCGAAGGCAACGAGCAAACATTTCTATAGAAAAGCGCCGATTCAAGATGCTTGCAACATTTACATAAACTAGTTTTCATATCTTAAAGACATTTCTCGCAAAATAAACATTTCATATTTCCAATATTCAAAGAGACGCTGCATTCGCATATCGCGTACTCATTCAAATTGAATATATTAAATTGTGAAGGACTACCGTTTGTCAAAGGTATAAGATAAAACAACAAAGGCGAAATGTATTTGATCGAAGAGAAAGCTACTTTGTTTTATGACAAACGATTTCTTAGAGGCTTTTGCAAAAGTTGATTGATCGAAAACTTGTTAGTTTACTTAGAAAAATGGGTATCGATACCCCATATTGATTTAAGAAATCTTTTAGGTTTCATGGAATCAATTTGTTATTTAGAAAAGAGATCAAGTTTCCTAATGATATACTTAACTGATGGCGACGTTTGATGTTAAATGAAATGAATAATTCTAAGGAATCTCTCACAAAGTCTAGTTATCAAAATTTTTTTTTTTGGTATTTAGAATCAACCCTAATAAACAACCTTTTAAAACAAAAAACTTAATAAATGGCCTAACATGAAATACTGTTTGTTTTATTTTTGATTTACAGAAAAATAAGTCTATAATAATGTTCTAGACGAATTGTAATAATGTAGATAATTGTCATTAATTTATTGTCAAGTATTCTAGTTCTTCTGCTGTAAGATTTTTTGTGAAGAACTACTGGTTCGAATTGAAACATTATTTTTGTGTTTAATAGACCATTTATTAAGGAAGGCTTTAGGTTATAAAACATCACGCTCAGATCTGTAGAGAGCAAGACTAGCTAGTTATGAAAACAATGGACTGAAAAGCAAAAAAAGAGGGCGCAAGTTTAGGGTGGGAGAGCCATGCTTCGGCATGAATGGGTCAGCTTGACCCGCGGTGACAAAACTAAAGTATTGTGTTTCGTTGTATGAGTGAGGCCGACACCATAGGCTCAAGCTGTCCCCCCCCCCCCCAATCTCTGCCCAATTACTCAATCTCTGAAACTAACCTAATGTTGAGTGACCACACTCAACATCAGGTTAGTTTCTGAGATTATGGCCGGCGCCGATAGCTTACCACCAAGTTAACCGCCAGCTCGTTTAACATCCTACCACATTAAAGAAAAAGGAGAAGGGAGAATATCTTCTACCTCCACTTACCCTTTTTAGCGTCCTGATGATGTTCACGTAACTGAAGGTGATAACAGCCAAGGGAACGATCTCACCCATCGCGAACAGGAACATGATGTAGGTGAGCGTATTCATTGACTGCTCGTGCCAGTTCACAGAACAACTGTAAAAAAAATTAACAGTAAGAGACTTCATAAAATAAAATTGATTCAATTTAAAATGTGTCGATGGATTCTTAAGTGTTTGGTATAATAGTATTTGGATGTGTATTCTATGGTAAGCAACTAATTATAATTAACTGCTGTTCGCGAAAGGTCGGTGTAATGACCTTTTTCCTTTTTTGTGGCTTTTACTGACTAAAATCCCCCCTGTTCCTGCTTCTGCTGTAGGTTGAGGACCCGGTACTTTATTAGGCTAGCCCCGCAACTCTGGCTGTCTATGTTATAACTTACCGCCATATTAACTTGGGAAAATTTTTAATATGTAAGTTTTTTGACGTATCAAAATTACCTGTATTATTATCTAGTTGAAACAAATGTGTATACTTTTGGTTTTTGTACTTGGTTTTAGCAATATTGTATATTTTGTTTGTACGACGAAGAACTTAAATCACCCAAAGATGCTTTTAAATCCACTCCACAACTAAACACTAACAAATGTAAGTTATACTTTAGTTCACGAACATTATTTTGATTCCAATTTTGTTTTATATCAGAAAAACCATAGAGGAACACACACACGCGCAAACAGTCTATCAAATACACCCCAAAAAACGTAAAAGAAGGCTTAGCAACTCCAATACTATCGTGAAACTTCGTCCGTCTGCTCATATACATCGGCCTAGGTGATTGCAACTTAGGCGATAAGGATTAGGCAACACTAACAGAATAGTGCTTACGAGTAATTGGATACGAAATACGTAGACTGTACTGTTGTGACGATAGGACATTGGCACCAATCCAACTAATGCCATAATAGGGTTATTAAGGCACCTATTCTAGCCAGAAGATTTTTATCGGGAGATTAGTCTAGAACCATTTCTAGCACGAATTTTGGCCAAATAAACTGATAGTGTTTTTTGGTAAATTGCAACCAAAAATCAAAGCAAAATTTTTATCACGTGATAAAAATACTAGTCTCGATACAAGCAGTAGGATCACCTGATGGTGAATGATCAGCAACTCTAAAGGAGTTGCAAGTTCATTGCTAACCTTTTGCGGATAAAGGAATTTCGAGCTTTACGAAGGCCCTAAAAAAATTTTCCCATCACCCTATTTTGATGGGAAAAATTGTCCTTTTATAAGTCGTGGGATTAAAGGATGGTATGGTATTTGGAGATTTAGGTTGGAGGGAGGGGGAGGGGTAGTTAGAAAACACAATAAATAAAAGTGTTGTTTTGTTGCCGGTATTCTATGTGGCCATAGTATCACTCCGGCTAAGCTCGTTCATTCGTATCGAAGCATGGCTGTCCCACACTTTGTGGCTTTGTTAAAAAGTTTATGACTATTTATTTATGTGTACTTATTGTTCTCATCCAAGTCAAATAAGTTCAATATTTTTTTAGTAAAACAATTGGAAAAAAATGCGTTACGTAGATCTAACAGTACCGAATATTTGTACTGTACTATTTACAAATAGAACTAAATAAGTACAGTTTAAACACAATACCACAGCTCAAACTTTTCAAATCCAAATCTGATATAAGAGGCAACGTCTTCGCAGAACTGCTGTAGATAAAATTATCGCCCCCTTTTCAATTCGACGATGTCAGTAGCATGATGCTTGCCGATTATAATTGCGCTAAAGGTCACAGAATACAAGAGAATGCTTAGTGAAGTAAGTGCCTCGGGATTAATCGTTGATTTCGAGTTCCTTGATTTATTTTAAAACGGGAACTGAGATGGACATTTAAACAGGTTCAAAGTGATATACCTATAATTTTGGCTTCACAACTAGGTAGGCTTTTCGGAATATTCGTATCATTCCTCTGATATGAACAACTTGTCATAAGTCGACTGTAGTCATTTGTAAATTTTATTAAAGAACTTGTATAAAGAGAAACTGTACTACTAATATTATAGAGGGTAAAATTTGTAGGTTTGTATGTTTGATTTCCAAAATTCTTTCACTGATAGATAGAGCTACAATATTCCTGAGTGCTATAGGCTATAAAACATCACGCTACGATTAAATGGAGCCGAGCAGCGGGTGAAACCGCGCGAGAGTAGCTAGTATCACATAAATTTCATATGTTCATAAAATGTTTTACCTTTTAAATCTATATCAACATATTTATCATATCATCAGCCTGTGAGTGCCAATTACTGTGCAAAGGCCTCTTCTCACACGGAGAAAGTTTGGGCATTAATCACCACGCTTCTTCAAGGCAGAATTCCTTCACCTTAGTACACATAATTCGGAAAAAGTCACACTGTTACTAACCATGTTTCCAACCCACCCCCTCATGCATGAGAAATGTTACGTACGACTTTTTAATATATAAGAAAAATACTATCTACTCGTACTCGTATCTAAATATGATTCGAGAAGAGATAGTACTGGCAGCTTTACAACCGTTTCCATAGGAACAATTGTTCAGCTGCCAGGAATTCCTTTAGCTCTTTGTACATTCTCACAACGCATAGCTCCATACCACTTGAATACAGACTTAACCCTTTTGAGATTACCTACACCACTCTGACTAGTTCAAGATGTACTCTATACAGGTTTATTTGTAATATTCTCAAAGAGGCAAAGCTTTTGTATTCATGGAGACGAATTTATTAAAGTCGTGTTGTGGCCTTTGGTTTGGTCAAAGGTGGATTTATATAATATATATTTACCGTTGAAGACCTAGATTCCAAATAAATAGAGTTAAGGCTTAAGTCACATACTTTAAGAAACAATCGACTGAAGAAGAATGACAGTTGACGTGGTGAAGGTATTTATAAGTTGGAAATTGCTTTGACCAAGAGTTGTGATTAATTCTCACCTTCCTGTTTGAGAAAAGGCTTTTGCTACACAAGCAAGTTGTGTAATATTTGAAAAAATTGTAAACTCGTATACCTATGGGTTATGAAACTGAATTAAATAATATTTTTTATTTTTTTTTTTTTTTAAACAGTTGGCACTTAAAGGCTAGTGATGATAGTAATGTATTGTGATAGAGGAGGTGACGTTTCAAAATGCATTATTTTTTATATACTCATCAAGAAAAAGATTGTAGTAGCTAATACATAGAATAACAAAAAATAAACAAAACTCTCCAACAAAATACGGCAGGTTCCGACAGGTAAATGAATACTTGAAACCCTTCTATCCAATTTGACTGTTAAATCTAAACAGAAATTAAATATTCTCAACTAGGTACCTACCTACAAGCTTCTAGCTCAAAAGAATTTTTAGGGAACATTTTTCGAGCAAATATTAGTTAGTGAAACACGACAAAAACAGGATCGAGAGTAATTTGATTTTAATTATACCGCTGGGAAATAAAAATAAAATCATTTATATTCCGTACGAGTAGTGTCGGATACGATATGGTTGTTTCGTGAGCGCACACTCGAGTTGCGTTGTAATCGCTCTGAGTACGACCCCGTTTTTAAATCGACCCGGGTCGTAGACCCGCATGTGATGTTTGAACACTTTCTATGCATGAGTAGTTCAGCAGCAATATTTTTCTGTTAGCGTTCTTAATCTGTTTGCGATGTAAGTACCTACACATATTTTTATTCATTACTCTTCATCATCATCATCAGCCTATAAGTACCCACTGCTGAGCAAAGGCCTCTTCTCACACGGAGCAGGTTTTAAGCATTAATCACCACGCTTGCTCAATGCGGGTTGGGGATTTCAAACTTATAATTAGAAATTCCAAAATGAAGTCCAGTTTTCCTCACGATGTTTACCTTCACCGTATATCAGTGGTGTCTAAATAATCATAGAAAGTACAAAGTCACATTGGTACTTGCCAGGTTTCGAACCACACCCTCATGCATGAGAAGCGGGCTCCTTAACCTCCGGGCCACAACGACCTATTTATTCATTATTCTTATTATTTTATTCATTGCTCTTAATCAGACCTAAATGTATAAAAGACTGAACTTTGACTGCACAGTTGGCGCGGTGGCTGGGCGACTGGCTGCCGCGCAGCCTGTCGATTCCCGCACGAAACAACTCTTTGTGTGATCCACAATATTTTGTACCTAGTCTGGGTGTCTTATGTATGTGCAATTGTATGTTTGTAAACGCACCCATGACACAGGAGAAAGTCCTAGTGAGGGGCAATGTTTTTTCAAAGAAAGACTGAACTGGCAAACATTGATCTCTACTGGTGTGAGCTACAATTATGTGTAGAACCTAAGACTTATTTTGGATTGGAGTAAGACCTTGAAAATATACTACGCACTATTTAAGCTAATCTGAACAAGTTAAGTTTGGTAATGCGCAACTTTGGGCACTTATAGGCTAGTAGTGTGTGATGATAATATGTTTGAAAGGGTAACATTTGACTCATTATACATCTTAAAATAATAAAATACATTAACATTAATACACTTATGAAGGCAAAAATAGCAGCTAACGGAATAACAAAAAATAAACAAAACTCTACAGCTGCAGCTGCTTTGATGTTTTTTTAAAGAAAGAAGAAAGAATGAGTTGGCAAAAATTGATCTCTACTAGGTACGAGCTACAATTGTTTATACCTAAGACCTAATGTACATTGGAGAAAGACATTGAAAAGATTCTACACACTATTTAAGCTAACACTTAAAATTTCGAAGAAATTACTAAAATTTTTCAAAGTTAAGCATGAATGAAACTTAACGAAATTACAATAGTAACCAAAATCGTACCTTATATTAGCAGCCTCATTGACGTAATGGCCCCATCCCATGAGCGGTGGTGTGGTTAGCGCGAGAGAGTATGTCCATATGAAGACAATAGACAAGATGGCGCCTTTCGAACTAAGGTGGTTGGCGTTCAAAGGTCTCGTCACCATCATGTACCTCTCGAAAGATATCACTGTTAGTGTTGTTATTGATGTTATTCCTGGAACAAGAGATAGTTTATTTTATTATTTGGAATGCGTAAGGGGGAAGATGGCCATTATTTTCTTGGTGGAGGCCATCGGCTATATAGATCTTTTGATGGCAAATGTTATAAAGACATTAGTGGGTTGTCTGTAGTGTAAAAAGAAGGCTTTATACTTCAATTCAAGGTTTTTCGGTTCAAAAATGGCTTAAGAGAGAGATAAATAAAATCTAAACTATATTTTAATACAATGTTTACGCTCCGTTTCGTTGAATGTACAAATATTCGTCGTCATCAGCATATAAGTTTCTCACTGCTGAGCAAAGGCCTCTTCTCACACGGAGAAGATATGAGCATTAATCACTACGCTTGTTCAAGGTCGATTTCAGGAATATCAATGATGTCTAAATTATATAAAAGGACTTAAAAATTGTTGAGATCTATCTATTGTTCCAACAGAGAAATTTTGTTGGCTTTTCATCGCGAAGGAAATATGGAAATTTAAAAAAAAACAAAACCCATATTGAAATAATGTTAGATTCACATTGAAATAACTATTATAATTGTTGCTAGTGATGTGTAAGGGTTCTGTAGCTCCAATCACTGTCACACGTGTTCACGAACGAGTTGATATTAGCAATTTGGTTCAGAACTTGTACGGTACGCTGGAGACGCAAGTCAAGTGATAAATTACAACTCTGTTATGATATTATGAGTGAAAGGGTACAATCAATGGTGTACTTTATTTATTTATTAGCAACTGTCCCGCGGTTCCACCCGCTGCTCGGCCTCTACGTATCGTTCCGTTATGTTTTATACCCTACTAGCTTTTGCCAACGGCTTCGCTCACGTTAAAAAATATTATTATTAATTATTAATTTCCTTTTGTTTAGCGTGTAAAAATTAAGGTCTCATCAATCTTTAATTTCAGCTCAATCAGTCGAAAATCTAAATAGATTTATACAAACTTTCATCCCCTATTTTATCCCCTTAGAGGTGGAATTTATCAAAATCCTTTCTTAGCGTATGCCTACGTCATTACCTGCATGCCAAATTTCAGTCCGATCAGTCCAGTGGTTTGGGCTGTGCGTTGGTAGATCACTATATCAGTCACCTTTGAGTTTTATATAAGTATTTAGATAGATAGCCTTCCTCGATAAATGGTTTAAGCAACACAAAAAAAAATGTTCAATTCGAACCAGCAGATACGGAGACTAGCGCGTCAAAAAAAACAATCTCTACAGATTTATAGTAGGTATTAGTATAAATTTGTATAAGAAAAACCATAGCTTACACTAAGGATGCATGAAAGGTTTCTATCATGTTTTAACATCGTATTGTAAAACATTACTTATTTAAAGTTTGCCACAACATGCATTAAGCAAAAATAGTGTAATTATATCAACGGTAAATTCGCTTATTTAAATCCAAATACCTAAAATGAAAATGTGACTGAAAATGAATTTCAAAATAATGTCTTAGGCAAAACATTTTTAACTCTATGAAGAGAGTAGGATACATCAGAATCTACATTAAATGACCCTCATCGTCATTGTTATTAGTAGAAAAATGACCACTGCTGCACAAAGAAGGTCTCCCCCTTACTCTTTCACGACGAACAAGGAAGAGGTGAATGCTAGGATACTAATTTAAGCTTGCGGGTTAAGAATTAGGTTTGCAAAAATATCCAAATTAGTTTTAAAGCCCTTAGCTGAAAGAATTTGATTTGAACGCATATTTAACTTTATTCGGCTAGTCAACAGTAGATAGTCAAAGAAAAAGTTAATTGATAAATAATTAAAGCAAAACTTCTAGTTTTGACTAAGGACCTGAATAGATGCTATGTTATTTCAATGTATATAAAGAACATAATTTGTTTGTGTGTGTAATCCGTATGAAAATAAGTTTATCGGGACTTACTTAATTAATTTAAGTAATTAATCCTTCTTTTTCCTTTAGTTTTCTTATTTAAAAACTTGTTCTCTGTATTGTTCTCACATATGGGTACTTAATAATGTGTAAAATAATGTATAATGGTAAACTAACAAATAGTGTTTTTTTCTTTTAAATAAGTAACGTGCTCGTTCTTCTCCATTTGAATCTACATTTTGGTACAAGCATCTAGCTTCACTGACGAACAGACTGACAGATTTTATTATTCTATTTGGATTGGACGTTTTATAAGTACTTTTTTACGGTTAAATTGGAATAAATGATTCTGACTTTTACTTTAATCAGAGAGATAATTGTGGTACGGCGTTAAATCAAGGACCCAATTAATAAAACCGAAATTTTCCACAGCAAACCTTCAGTTAGTTATCTAATGAAATTTATATTTACATTCCAAATACACCTGTACCGAAATTAGGTCGAAATAAAACGCTTTCTAATTAACATTTTACTTAATAACTCATGATAAACGAATGTAATTAGAATTACTTACTAACATAGATTTTTACTCATATAAATTCCCACAAAGACTAAAGGTACAGAATTTGGTAAATAAAATTGTGTATTGTATTTATTTAAAGTTAATAATATATTATTATTATTACGTGAACATTAAAATCGCCAATCCGCCTTGAACAAGCGATGTGATTAATGCTCATAGAATACCTTCTCCGTGTGAGAAGAGGCCTTTGTTCAGCAGTGGGTACTTATAGGCTGACGATGTCGATGATGATTATGATTACGTGTACAAGTATACAATACGTAACGCAGCCTTAAACGTGGATGGATGACCGAGATGTTTTTAAAAGTGCTTTTTTGGTGGCAATCCCTTAGGCCGGCTGGTTGATGGTAAGCAATCAGCGCCGCCCATGGACACTTGCATTAGCAGAGAACTTACAAGTGCGTTGCTGCGCTTTCCGAAAGTTGAGGAAGGGAAACACAGACGAAACACAACAAAAGCGTTGTTTCGAAGAGGTTTCTTGAGGCCGTGATATTACTCCGGTCAAACTGGACCATTTTAGTCTTGTGTGCAAAAGCATGACTAGTCTAAACTAAAAACGCAAGTCAGTTTAATCTGACCCAATCCTTTGGTGATTCTATGATCTGAACTGAAATTTGCTCATTGTACAACACAAAACTTTATATTTAAAACAATATTATCTGTATTTAAATCACGATATAACATCCACAGTCTCTGTAATCAAGCAGTCTTATTTTCTGACCTGCGTAGATAAAAAATAACATTCAAAACTGTCCGCAAAATGTAATCCATAAAGATTTTCATAAAATTGTCGCACACAATTTGCTTGATAAATTTTGTTATCAATGTCCATCGCCATCCAAGAGAGGGTATCTTGGACAAAGAGATTTCCACTTTTCCAGAGCTATTGAGGTGCTGAGTCCTGTTAAATAAAAATGGCGTCTCCCTTCTACAATAGAAGTGAAGTCTTGGCCCTGTGCACTGTGTGTGTATAGAAAGTCGTAATACAGTGAAAATAGAATACAAAGTCGTTTGTTTCATGGTAAAAATTATAGCATTCTTTAGGCTTTCATTCTGTATACAAATAGAAATGGACCACCAAAATATTTTGATGACCATAACTGTGGATTGAATGCATCGAATTGTTTTTTTTTTGTAGTCTTCTTTATTGTTAGATGTTTGGGTAAAAGAAAATTGAAAATACATACATACATTCACCGGGAACACTAGAAAATAACAGCCTAGCAAAAATGGTTCAAAATAACACACAATTTATTACCGATATTTTTGAGCTCCAAATACTATATTACGAAGTATTGAACGGTGACTATTGACATAATTGTAGATTCCGCATTGTTTCTTAGAATTGTGAAATTCGAAAATTTCGACTAAATTTACTAACCTACAAAACCCCACCAGACCATTCTGAATGTAGTCACAATTATGACCCTTCGAGCTACAAGGCCATCTACAGCATTTTTCTGATACAATCAACTATAACACATTAAGATATAACATAGAAAATAAAAAGTGCACTCTAATTTCCACCAAACTTTAACATAATAATATAAACCTTACAATTTTGCAAAAAAGGTCCAAAGTCCCCAACCCATACTTCAATACTTATAAAGATCTTGATATTATCTTAAAATTGCACGCTGTAAAAGCAGCACAGACTCTACTGGACGAGGAACTTCGTAGATTGATTAAAGCGGTTCTCCATTGAGAAAATTAACTATTGTGATAGCTTTATCGCAAGGAAAGTGAACTAATTGCCAAGTTTCACTGTTCGTTCTTGAAACACCCCTTTGGGATTATAAGATTGAAGTTATAAATGATCTATTGCCTCTATCTATACATATAAATGTTAATAAACAAGGTCATGTCAGTTGTATGTACGACTGTGAGTCGAAAATGGCTGAACGGATTTTTGATAGTCGTTCATTTGACAAGAAAACCAACATTGCTCAAAAATGATTTGAAAAAAAATTGCTCCACTATGTCATCGTGGTTTATAGACTTTAATATTCCATATGATTACCTATAAAGTTTTATTAGAGTTCAAGCTTCTTCTCGCACGGAGAAGGTTTATTCATCACAACGCTTTTCAAAGCAAAGATTGATGATTTCAAACTTTTATAAGTCCAGGTTCCTCACGGAGTTTACCTTCAACGTATGTCAGTGGTGTCTAAATAATCATAGAAAGTACATGTAACTAGGAAAAAGTCACATTGGTACTTACCAGGTTTCAAAAGCTGATTTTTAAAACCATTTTCAGCCAGAAAAAAAAACAAATTAATTTATAGCCCTCATAGAGAACAAAATTCGGATTCTCAGTATCCATACTAATTAATTGCTGACATTTAATTACTGGGTTACTGGGAAAAGCGAATAAATTTTAAGTCTGATTAGAGTCATAGATTTTGTGTAATTAAAATCATGTTGATTAGCTTATAGCCTAGTAACATTGAGTTTAGTTTGGCAATCATTAATACAAGGATTAAATTAAGCTTAGGATTTTGGTTTTGGATGTCTGGGAAATTTTGGTTGGACTACTATGATTATTTTAAGCATGATCAAAAATGTGACTTCCATTAGCATATTAATGAAGTTTTTCAAACTAGTTAGCAGTGTGTGGGAGAGCCACTGTCGACTCGACCGGAGTGATACCACGGCATCACAGAAAAACGGCGTGAAAAACCACGGTGTTGTGTTTCGCCGTGTGAGTGAGGTTACGTAAGCCCAATCCTTCCCCTCCCCCATCTCAAATGTCCGTGGGCGGCGCATACCATCAGGTTATTCGTCTGCTCGTTTGCCGACCTATGATATAAAAAAGCGCGCTTCAACAGATAATTAAGTCAAAATAATTTATTTGAATTAGATTGCATTGTTTTTTAAGGGACAGGCACTTTTGAACGAAACAAAGCATACATCTACATAAAAGTATCAGTCTGTCGGTCAATCCGAAGCTCGTTTCAAATTGTAGATTTTGTTGGTGTTAATCTCCAATCTTTATATTTCCCATCCCAAAAGGCCATTGTATTACTGTGTATGTAACTCCTCTGTTGTTGGATGAACATATGTATACGGTAAGCACCACTTATCTAGGTCATAAAATATAATATTTTTTTGGTATATTTTTCCAGCTGAACCGAAAAGAAATAAAAAAGATGACGTCACAATCTTCGACCGTTTGACCTATAAGGCAACAAAAATAAAAAAATAAGTACGTGATCTTTTACAACAAAATTAAAAATTCCGCAGACGGCTCTCGATACCCTTTTCATAAAATGATGAGAAAATAATAATAATAATAAAGAGTCATGATCGAAGATTTCTACTGAATTCCTTCGGTTATCCCTTCATTTGTCAACTGTCAGCCACTTCAGAGGAAACTAATTTCACAGGATTGACTTAAGCACTTTGAACCGCCTCCGTTCCGAGAGCTTTAATGGAGTACTCGTCTCGAACTAAACATTAACAAGACAATGCAATCCTATCAAATTACGAAATGTAGAAAGCAGTCAACATAAATATTTTGATATTTATAACCGAGTTCCAAAAAGGAGGTTCTCAATTCGACCGTATTTATGCTTTTTTTTGCTATTATTTATTTTTTGTGGAATCTAGCTGCACTAGCATACTGACCACAGGCTTCGCCCATGTTGTATGATGATAAAAAGCCTATGTGTTAACGAAGGGCCTAATCACCATATACTATACATACCAAATTTCAACCAAATCGATCCAGCCGTTTTTGCGTTAAGGATAATAAAGATTCACATTTAAAACATGTTAGTTATATATAGTATACTTCGATTTCTTTGTAATACTAAATTTATTTATTTATGAAATTATTTAAAATGATTTTAGGGTTTCTTATTGGAGTCTCGAACGTGATGTATGTACTTACATATGTCGTATATGGTCAAAATTATTAACGTTTTTTTTTAGTTTTTTTAACACTAGGTTTTTTCAGGGAAGTCGATAAGTCCCTAGCCTAAGCAAATTAAATACATATTTATGGATTTAGCAACGCCATAATGGCTTTGATTTTATGGTCATAATGTACAAACTCTATAGTTGGTATACTATGACCATATAGACATAATATGATAGATGGAGAACAGGGTCAGGGGAGTATGATTGCTCAGTAAAAGTCTGATACTTCCTCTCACTTTTCCCCAGAGGAGAGACACGGGGCGAGAGCTGAAATTATGATTTTAAAGCCTCAAAAAAAACGTTGGTTCAATTGGTTGAAGATACCTGCTTCAAAATTTATTTGCAACATCCCACTACAGTAAGTAAATGGATACAAATTTATGTTTGTATTTAGTTTGTGTTATATATTAAAAGTAAGTTATTGTATTGTTAGTTAAATCAAAGCTAGTAAAAATAACAGTGTACTCAAGTTCTATAAATCATTGAATTCTGTGACAAAAACCAGTCAAATTTAATGCTTTTTTGAAAAATCACAAACGATACATATCGTTTGTGATTTTTCAAAAAAGGCCTCCGTATGAGAAAGGCCTTTTCTCATACGGAGAAGGTTAGAGCATTAATCACCACGCTTGCTCAATGCGGGTTGGCGATTTCAAGCTTATAATTAGGAATTATAAGTCCAGGGGTGTGATTCTGTAAGACTTCATTCTAAACTTCGAATCTGAATCCGCGGTGAGTTTCTTGATTGGCATTCTAAAACTCGATTCCTAACTCGAATCTATGCTAGCGCTACACTTGCGAGTGTGTTTACGAGTTGAACTAAATTGACCGCAACATTTTGACAGATAAAGTATGAGATAACGTTGAAAATCGTATTCTATAATGTAATGTAAGTGACGGGGCAATTATAATTGCCCCGTCACTTCGACGCTCACTTCAAACTAGAACAAGATTCAAAATGTCAAATTAAAAGTATCTATTTTACGAGTGAAAATGGAAGAAATAATAGTTAGATAGTGTTCAAATTAAGTTTTGAAAGTAACAAAGTGAATAAGTGCTTACCTATTAAAACGATAACGATGGCAAGAATGTTTTTGGTAAAATCTTTGTTAGAAGAAGCTCATGCTTTAGATAAACAAGAAATGCGTCGACAATCTAGCACCATTCGAAGTTTGTCTTTATTAACCTGAGATGACGACTATGTGAGCGTGTATGGGCAATGGAGCCGATTAACTAACTAAAGGATGAGGTACTGCCTTTGATAAAACCCACAAAACGGCGAGGCAAAGGGCTTTGGTATGGTATAGTTCATAACATGTATTACCTGGTTAGTTATGTCCCTACTTCAGAAAATATAAGTCTAATTACTAGGTTTTATTTATATTTGATTGGTCGGAAACGGATTACCTGATGGAAAGGATTCAGCGCCGCCAATGGATGGTATAGTTCATAACATGTATTACCTGGTTAGTTACGTCCCTACTTCAGAATATATATGTCTAATTACTAGGTTTTATTTATATTTGATTGGTCGGAAACGGATTACCTGATGGAAAGGATTCAGCGCCGCCAATGGATGGTATAGTTCATAACATGTATTACCTGGTTAGTTATGTCCCTACTTCAGAATATATATGTCTAATTACTAGGTTTTATTTATATGTGATTGGTCGGAAACGGATTACCTGATAGAAAGGATTCAGCGCCGCCAATGGATACCCGCAACAACAGAGGGATTACGAGTGCGTTGCCGACCTTTTGGGGATTATGGATTTGGAGATTTTGACACACATTCACACGGCGAAACACAACGCTATGGTTGTTTCACGCCAGTTTTCTGTGAGGCCGTGGTATCACTCCGGTCGAGCCAATCGAGCACACTTAAAATAGTATAAGTACTAGATAGTCATTCGATTTTTTTCAGGTGATTCAGGATATGCTCAACGTGCCTACTGTATGACACCATTAGTGGTGCTGAAGCCAATTCCCCAGAAGCATTTTAAAATAACATACATGCATGGAATTTGCCATCTAATACAGGTTTAAATCTAGGACGTAGACAAAATATAGTGCCTCAAAGAGCTAATAGACCACCACAGACGGAGCCCTACAGGGCTGATGTTCAGCCACGGTGGCGGGGCAAGCGCAATGAGGTGCCACGGTCACGGCCTAAAGCAGGAGAAGGAATGGGGGGGGTTTTAGTCAGTAAGAGTCTGACACTATCTCGCCTTACCCTGGACGGGAGAAGTGATATGATGATTTTCCCTTGACAAAAAAATATGATTATGATTTTATTTAATTTTATTTTGATTTTAATTCAATTAGGGTCTTGTATGATTTTATTTTTTCCACATTTTTTTATGCGTGTGATTTCAGTTTTGTTACATTTTTTTTCTTTTAATTTAGCCTTACGAGCCTAATTGTTAGACCCTAGTTAATTTATTGTATCCCATAATTGTTTGAATATACAATTGAGTTAAAATCAAATAAATAAATAGTGATATGTGAGGATGGGTCTTTAACTAATAAAACTGCTAGTACTCGTTAAAATTGTTTAATTTAAATATAAAAACAAATTTGGTTGAAACGTCTTAAACACTAAAACACAACTTCGTTGTTACACCCTATCTCGATGCATGGCCTCTGCCAATGCTCACAATCCATTCCAGATTGAAACTACAGATCCAGCTAAAATTTAATCATTCCCTAGACTTCTCTTCAAAATCAAATGCTTGCAAGATCTGCGCATTTGATATTTGTAAATTCTTCCAATTGATTTGAAATCGTCTTCTCTTCCACCTTCAGGAATCTCTCTGTGATGTTGGAGAATTCCGTTCGCCGTTGTGATGTTGGAGGAGCAGCAACTGAAGATGTGTGACGTGATACTGAAAAGAGAACACCGATTAATATGTGCATTGATAAAAACTCTTTAACAAATTGCAGCTTTTCGCTGTCGTTTGTTCCAAAAATTAAGTTCTTTCTTCAACCTCTAAACTTCATCTTCCACCACACCAGTCCTATCCTGCGCCTAGCTGCTAAGCTTCTTATGGCGCTTTTTTCTCAGACCAATACTACAAGCAGACATTTATATTAATAAAGGAGTTATTAAAAAAGCCTTACTTTTTATTATTATTAATAGTCAATGTAAAATTAAAATAAGTTATATAACCAAGGAGCCCGCCAAGATTCATCTTTATTTTAAGTGGCTTGCATTAAGGAATATTAAATGGTTTTAACATGCCAAAGTAAGCACTACTTACTTCACCTTGGTCCTCTGTTTATAAGTTTTGAAAGTGCCATCTATACCATACAGGCACACGGCTAGTTCCTTCCACTAGCGCCGATTTCGCTCTCTGGCACCTTGAGTTCTCAAGAAACCCTTCGCCAGCCAGGTAAAACCTGTGATGACGACGGGTGTGAGGAACGTATCTCATTTGGACTGAAACATTATTGTTTGATTAGAAAACAAAATAAACACTCTATAATAAATATTATTTTTGAACTTTACAACCAGTAATAAAACTTACTTCATGTTTATGATCTCTCTTTTTATCGGCAAACACGGAACAGAAAAAATATACGAATAAACCAAACGTGGACAAAATAATACAAAGCAAATGACAAAGAGTTTGTCAACAATGAATGAAGACATTATCTGTCAGTTTCTTTTTGGTAAACGAAGCACAGATTATATTCATCGCCTGGATTTACAGTTTTCTGTTTATTTTGTAATAATTAGCTGCCTAAAATTCCTTAAAATAAGAAATTTCAATTTATACGTCATAATATCTAAAATTCTGTGTCAAAAACTTGTTAAAATAAAAACCGATAAATCTCGACTTACATTTTGTGTAGTGTGGTACTACACTAATACAGTATTGGCCGATTCGGAGCTCACTCCACTTCGCAAGTGCCTAGGTGATGCTTACAGAATGCAAAATCAACGCCATTTTGAACCTTATGCGAAGTGAGAGAGAATGTCGACTTGACATGCGAGTTCGTGTTAGAATTTTATAGAATCGACGTGCAGGTTTCCTCACGATGTTTACCTTCATCATATGTCAGTGGTATTTAATAATCATAGAAAGTACATATAACTCGGAAAAAGTCACATTGGTACTTGCCGGAGTTCGAACCCCTACCCTCATGCATGAGAAGCGGGCTCCTTAACCGCCGGGCCATCACGACTAGTATGTCCTAAATACTTAAAATTAATCACAGAATAAGATTTCTGTTATTTTATAATATCCTGTAAAAGTTTTGTTTGTGAAAGCAATTTATTTTTACTGAGTCGATAATTTAATTCGCACAAAAAGGAAAAATCCGAATGTAGCATACCAATGTAAAAAACACGGTATTTTTTGCTTATAGAATACATTGCAGCAATTATGTAAAGATAAATATTATTTTAAAATTAATTCATATTTATACATTCGTTTTATGTTTTTATCTGTCTGCTCCTTTAAGGAAAATTAACGGTAAATCAAATATGTATGTAAGAAGAAGCGCGGGTCTGTGGACGGCGAGTACCTAGGGGTAGCTCGCCGCCAAACCAAGACCACGTCCTAACGTACGGCGCGTCGCGTTTGCGCGCTTAAAAGAACCAATAGACCACCAGAGCGCTTAAAAGAACCGATAGACCACCAGAGCGCTTAAAAGAACCGATAGACCACAGACTGGCTGTTGTTCAGCTGGGGTTGCGGGGCAAGCGCAATAAGTCAATGTAAAGGAGGAGAAGGAAACCCCCCTTTTAGTCAACAAGAATGTCACACACCCTCCTGCCCCACCCTTGGCGGTAGAAGGAATTTAAAGATTCCCTCACAAAAAATGTAGAAGAAGTACTATTGCGTTCTTCGTGGTAGCTTACGTAACGGGTTTCATCTTTGTTCCATTTCACGACACGACGATTTCAAAATAACGACTCAATAACATTTTATATGCTAATTTTAAAGCACTTTCATAAGAAGGAAAATAATCTTTGAAACCAGAAACCATTTTACATAAAAAGGACATTCAAAGAAGGCAACATTTTAGTTACCATAAATCAAAATTTAAATCCTTCAACGAGAGCTACTAAAATTCTGACTTTTCACTGTCATACGGAGATCTTAATAGATAGTACATGTCAAAAATAACTCTGCTGAAATGTTTAGCAATAAAAATTTTACTTTGCATAAAAACACAATGAGAATCAGAAGGGAGGAGTGAACGCTTCATCGTCTCCGACAATCCAATGAGCGCTGACTCGTGTTCTTTGAGACTACGCTTCCTTATTCTTGTAGTTAATACAAGCAACATGATCAACGAACGGTGTACACCAACGATACGCCCAGACCATGCTATACTAGCTCCCTTGGCGCTGTTCACAACATACGTCATGATTGGTAGCTATTTAGTCGGAGGATATAAAGGGAAAAAGGCTTCAAAGTTTTTACAAGCGTATGCATTGGTTATTTGCTGTTTTCTACATGGACTGCTATCTGTATCAGTGTTTCAAGAACTGAGAAAGATTCGTGCTACTACCGCTCTAATACTGAACGGTATTCTTCCTATGTTTACAATTATTTTGTTAGCAGCTGATTTAGTGGTAGTGCTATTTTCCACTCGCCGCATGCCCGTACCTCCCGAAATCAGGAACAGCTCCAGTATTTCGCACACAGTTTAATTACCTGGTTTTTAAGTTAATTTACTTTTATAGAATATTTTATAGCGTTATTAAATTGATATTTTTATGTTTATATCCTGAAGTTTTCTTAGAATTCCATTGTCATCATCACGACTTCGAGAAAATACTTCTCTCATAAACACACTAGAATCTGCTCACTGCAAAGGCCTCTCCTTAATCTCCATACTTGCACCGCATGTTTAGTGATTTCAGGTTGTCACTGGAGTCTAAATAATCTTAGAAATTTCACGTTTTTTTTCAACTTCTTCGTTTTTTATCAGATAGGTTAGAAAAGCAGCAAGCAGAACACCTGACCGTAAGCAATCGGCGCTGCCTATACACACACGCAATACCAAAGAAGTTACAAAAGGCCTTTTGTGAGTTGGCTATTGGATTTGGAGATTGTGAATATGGGGCGGCGAATATTTCGGCCATCAGGAACGTCAGTAACCTTAACCACATGGTAAAACATTTTCCAAGCAAGCCTAGTTCACGCCGGTATTCTATGAGGCCATGGTATTACTCTGCCAAAGCTTAGCTCTGCTAGACTTGCCAGGGTTTGAAACGCACGATCGCTATCACACCCTCATAAGAAGCAGGCTCTTTAGTCAGCCTCCGGGCTATCATGACACTAGAGAGTTAGTAAATTACAAATCATGATTATACTTTGCATTCAGCTATAGTAAATATTCACTGTTCATGTAAAGCTCAAAATAAAAATCCTATCTTACTTTACTAATTCTTAAATTACTAATATTACAAATGCGAAAGTTACGATGTTTGGATATTTGTTGCTCAATCACGTCAAAATGGCTAAATGAATCTGGATGAAATTTGGCACAGGCATAGGATAGACTCCGGAATAGGGACATAGGCTACTTTTTATCAACATACCATGCGGGCGAGGCCGCGCATGGACGCTAGTTTTCTATACATCGCTAGCGGTCGCCCGCGGCTCTGGCCGCGTAGATGATGATTTTACACACCTCTATAAACCTTTTCTGGACTTACTCAAATAATGCAAGACCAAAATTAGCGGTAAAGGCATTGTTGAGTTATAACACTACAACGAAAAGTCGCATTGATTTTTATATCTATACAATATGACGTGGTGAAGATTGTTGTTAAATTATATTTTTTGATATAAAAACTCAGTCTATTCTCACTAAACCTGACAAAGTGTCACTAAACATTGTTACGTGCCAAGCACAGAGCGTCAACTATTACGACCAAAATATTTCGTTAACATAAATCTAGTTCTTCAACTTCATTGATTTCGCGTTCTGAATCTGGAATTGGATTTTGTGTTCTGAAGCTATTGTTATTACTTGAAAGTAGACTTATTTTTGGTGACAATACATCACTTTTTCTTTTATCATTATCATAATCTATAACTACCTCGCATGCCAGACTTGGAAGGTAAAGGTATCGAAAAATATTCGCTATTTCGTTTTTAACCGACTTCCTATATATGTTTTTTTTATGTTTGTTCGCCGGTATCTCCGTTATTTATGAACCGATTTTGATAATTCTTTTTTTATTGGAATAAAGATAGTCCCAGAATGGTCCCATGAAAAGGAAATCAGGATCTGATGATGGAAGGCCAGAGAAATTGAGGAGAACTTTCAAAAATTGTAGGGACGAGTGGTGCTTTTGCATATGATTTCAGTAGGGTTTTGACAAATTTACAACTTGCCGATATTCGAACCCGACCTGATGATGGAGCCGGAAGACAGTCAAAGGATCTCCTTGACTATTTGGAGTAGTTGCCTTGTGTTTGGGCTTGAATGATTCGTATTGGTTAGTACTTTGCAACGAGATTTGTCGTGATTGTCATTAAGGGTCTGATGATGAGAACGATGGACAGCTCAGAAAACTCCTGAACGGTTTACAGTAACTACCTCGTGTTTGGACTTCGTTCATTTATATCGACTAAAACTTTGCACCTTTATGGATTTCAATGAAGTTATGCAGTAAATTGTGATGATGGAGCCGGAAGGCAGTCGAGGGATCTCCTTGATTATTTGGAGTAGTTGCCTTGTGTTTAGGCTTGAATGATTCGTATTGGTGAGCACTTTGCACCTATATTGATTATGTATAATGAAGGCCTGCGGTATACCTGATGATGGAGGTTATTGACATTTGAGGGAATTCCTCAACGATTTACGGCACTGAAAGCTGACTAACTCAGGACTGCCATTACCGTAATTTTCGGTCTCA